TGTGTTATATTACAACATACGCCGTGGAGATGTCAGTCTGACCCATAAATGTGTGTTATATTACAACATACGCCGTGGAGATGTCAGTCTGACCCATAGATGTGTGTTATATTACAACATACGCCGTGGAGATGTCAGTCTGACCCATAAATGTGTGTTATATTGCACCGTAGCCCGTGCTCTCTGACGCACTTCGGGTGCTTGTGTGTTTCCTGTCGTCATGGTGACTCGGAAGGTCACGTGAGGTTGACACGCAGTATCTATCCGGAGACGTCTCCGACGGAGATAGACCAATCAAAATATTTTGCGCTTTTAGACCAAGTAAAATAATCTGGACAGGGGGGGAGGGGGGGCATGCCCTCCTGTTTTAACCCATAATTTGAGATTTTGTTAGTTTTGAACTTTCCTTGTAAGTAATTGATTTGCAACAGTTTTAGTGGCTATATGTGTGATCTGCAGCAAACAATAGGCAGATTGACCCTCAAGCAGTGCATCTGTGTACGGGAGTACGTCTCCGAATAGTTCCTTGGTGCTCGGCGGAGACTTCTCCGAATATCTTCTACCGTGTTGAGATATTAGTCTGGCGCATAGATTTATGTTATATTACATCATAGGCCGTTGAGATAATTATTGCTTTGTTAGTGAGACAACTTCCTGGGCCTTGGGCATATTGTGGTAGGGTGGCCAGTTCCTTTCCACGCCGCCTCTACTTTCCCAACTCGAATCCAGGTACCCATTACTGCGGGGTGGGCAGGAGGGGGCGAAAAAAGCCCGTGTCTGAACCGAGGCTCGAACCCAGACTTTCAGCTTCGGAGATGGGCGCACTAACTGCTCTGCCCCCTGAATGCTCTAAATTGTGGCGATTTATTTATTAGTATTGTTGTTTTTTAAATTAACGAATTGATTAATTGATGTTTTATTTTTATTTCTTTTCTCTCTCTCTCTCCCCCCAGACCACCGACAAAGAGACGGCCCATGCGGCAAGAAGTGTTTTGTGGTCACCGCAGTCGCCCTGTTCTTGTTCCTCACGTTCGTGGCACTGCCTGCGGGTAAGTTCATCTCCTCCTTATTCTCATCTTCATCCTCCTCTTTGTCCTTATCCTCATCTTCGTCATCGTCATTTTCGTCATCATCTTCTTCATCCTCATTGTCACCTTAATTTATTTATTTAATTTTTTTAAT